AACTTGCATTTACTAAATAGTTGCATCTTTTATATATGCAAAAATAGGTTTGAGTGTTAATTTTGTTGCTAGAAATCTTAGAGGTTTATTTTACTGTTCATAACTGTGTTTCTCAGTAAACAATTATAATACCAGAAATAATGATAACATTTACACTTGTTATACCTGAAATTTATTTCACACTGTGTCTTGCCATATGTCTAAAACGATGTTTATAGTGAAGCTATGTTATTGTCCTGATTGTGATTTTAAAGCTGATGCTCCAAAGCATTAAGGCAGGGTTTCCACTGATGATGCCTGGGGGCTGAGTAGTGGTACCTGGAGCTCTTGGGCTTCAAGGAGCACTTCAGCCCTGTGCATGCACTGCTGGAAGACCATGTTCTCCTTCAAGCCACTGCAACCCACTGAAGCCCAAACGCACCTGCAGCTTGGCTCCCTGCTGTGTCTTCACACTGAGAACAGAGAGCAGGCAGGTAGCCACCTGGAGAGGGCAGGCTGACATCACAGCAAAACCCGCTTTTTCAAAGATGCTAAATCCGAAGCAGCAAGGCTTTTGTCTGAATTATGCTGTCAAGAGACGTCCATTGATTCAAGAAAGTCGCTGCTGTGAGAAGCAATCTAGATCTCACAGCAGACCCTGTCCTGGCACTGAAGCTTGGTCTTCCAGGTTACACGACTGCACACACTTCAGAAGGACCCCATTGTCAGCCTGCTACCTTCTGCGTGTGGGACCGCGAACGCCCGGGTGGTGGGATCTGAGTACACACGGGTGCTATTCCTGCTCAGCAAGGGATGCGGCTGCTGTTGCAGGAAGTCCACCCACTGTTGACCCTCGGTGGACAGATAGTAGAGCACCCTCAAGATAAACCCACTCAGAAAGGCTCTGTGTATCTTCTTCCTGGTGCTCCAGGTAGGTGCTCCTGATGCCAGGCAGGTAAAGAGCATGAAGCAGCAGGGCAGTGCATCTAGACCATCACCACACTGTGCTCGAAGAGATCCTGCTGATCCTGCAGATCCAGCAAGCCCGCCGACCTCTTCCACCCGTTTCCCAAGGAGCACGCATGCGCACTTGTCATGTGGAAACTGTGATGCACTCCATGCAAGCCAGCTCCCGGGAGAAGGCGCAGAAGCACACAGACTTGTCCTCTTGCGTCTGGAGAAGCTTAAGATGCTCGATTGCAGCCCGTCCTGTCCTCCTTCCAAAGAATCCTGCGTGAGTACCCCGGCACGTGCAGGCTGGGCAGAGGATACGGGCCGCTGGGCTGCAGGAGATCTCCCAGGTCTGTTGGCTGCGCCGGCAATGCGACCCCTGCCTTCCCAGCCTCCTAGCCACACAGCTCAGCTGCGTACCCTGCGGGGCCTAGCCTGTGTCTCTGCCAACGGCATGGACAGTGCTGAAGCCCAGTTCACCACAGCTTTGAGGCTCACCAGTGACTGGGAACTGTGGGCCTTCATCTCACCAACCTGGTGAACGGGCATATAAAGGAGGGAAACAGACCCCCAGAGGGAACTGAACAGTTCGCTGGAGAGGGTCAGTCCAGACCACAGCCTGGTTGCCAGCGCCTACTACCTCTGAGTGTGTGGCTTTTCTACCTGTGTGTGCTCTTCTCCTTCCTCCAGAGCCGATACAAGGAGGTCAGACACGCTCTGCATCATGTTTATCTATGTTTAAGCCTTTCTTTGCTTCTAGGGCACTTTGTATGTAGAACAGATTAAATAAGGACCTTAACAGTTAGCACCTGTCTTGATATGAAAGTGCTTGTGGTGACCATTCTGTTATCTGCATACATACATGTAAAGCTAGGGATGAGCTCTCAAGTGTACAGTTAGAAGTTCAGTCTCTGCCTGTGTGCTCAGACACTCAGTTGTGTCCAACTCTTTGTGACCCTGTGGACTGTAGTCCGTGAGGATCCTCTGGAATTTTTCAGGAAGAATACTGGAGTGGGTTGCTTTTTCTTCTTCCAGTTGACCTTCCCGATCCAGGGATCGAACCCATGTGTCTTGCATTGGCAAGTGGATTCTTTACCACTGAGCAACCTGGGAAGCCCCCCCAAAAATTCAGTACTTGATATTTAATATTCCACTCTAGCTTCATGGAGGCCAACCCAAGTGTACATGCATGCGTGCATTTGTGTGAACTTTGAGCCTTTTCTTCACCTTTCAGTTATGTAAAGCTGTCGTAAATACCATCCGATGAGTCCCAGTTCAGTGCCTCACAGTTTTTTAATCATAAGAATTTAAAACAGACAGCAAGTAAGCCCCCAGGGAGCCATTACAGCTAGTCTCATATAGCTAAAGTGAGGCAAAAGTCGCTCAGTTGTGTCTGACTCTTTGCGACCCCATGGACTGTAGCCCACCAGGCTCTTCTGCCCATGGAATTCTCCAGACCAGGATACTGGAGTGCGTAGCTGTTCCCTTCACTAAGTGTTTAGGAAAAACAGATAAATAAAACTCCAAAACTTTACAGGAATGTGAGGAAGCGGCAGAAAGATCCCTGTGGGCAGGTGAACCATTGAGAGCTAATCGGGCCCTTTGCGTGCACCTCCCACTTCTTCCAATTGGTTGGGGTGGCCCTCAGGGCCTGCAGTTCTGGGGGTGCTGGTCCAGGAGGTGTCACGCTCCATCGTCGCAGACCCAGAGCTGCCCCCCACCCCCGGCCTTGTTGAGTCCTGACAGTCACCATAGTGAGGCCAGGGCCCCCCTCTGGGGTCAGCACTCGTCCAACTTACTGGGAATACAGACAGGGAAACTGGAAAGGCTGCCTGACGCAGTGGGTAAATCTGCTCGCTGCCTTGTTTTTGTCTCCTTAAAGGTTTTTTAAAATAAGTATTGGGTTGGCCAAAAAGTTCATTTGGGTTTTTCCATGACAGCTTATGGAAAAGCCTGAACAAATCTTTTGGCCAACCCGATATGTTTGGCATTGTTATTGCTGTTCACTCACTGTGGTGCCTCTTTGTGACCCCGTGGACTGCAGCACGCCAGGCTTCCCTATCCTTCACTATCTCCTGGAGTTTGCTCAAATTCATGTCCATTGAGTCACATTTGGAAAGCTGTCTTTTAATGGGTTTGTAATGTCTTATGTTTTTAGCAGACTGTATATGCAGCTGGTGCTTTTAATTAGGGAAAAATTATAAATATAAAACATTGTTTAAAAGATATAACCATAGAACACAACTTCTCACTTGTGGATTTTTTTCTGTGTATTCCAAGTAAGATAACTTGAAGCAGTCATTGAAAAAATAAAATGAAATACTTCCTCTCTCCTCCCCCCGCAATTCTTGTAGGTGCTTTGGGTGTTGTGGTAAATAGAAAAACACACTTTCATTCTCATGGACATGAGGAAATATCTGTACTTAAATGAATTCTAAATGGTTGAAATGCTGAATGTATTTGGAAAACCATGCTACAAATTATATAATTTGCTTCTCTGCTCAATATGAAATTTGTAAAATTAGCACCAAAGGCATGATTCTTTTTATTTCAAATAGCAGGTAATACAGGAGACTCCAGTTACTAAGATGTAGTAAGATTTATTGAAGAAGAAAAGTTAAAATTTTACATAACCTCCTTCTCCTTCTGCTTCTGTAACTCAGCTTGCCCCTTGCAAAGTCTAGATCACATAGGTCACATAGTCTCAGAAAGTGGGAACATGCAATACTAGGAACTGGAGTTTATCTCACTCACCCTTGTCCTGCTCTTTGCAATCACCCAGCCCCTGCAACCCTGCTTAATCATGCCTGTCCAGGTCAGACATCCCCCTCCCCATGTTGACCATTATTCCCACACATGAAACCCCTAGTTTAAACCAGCCTATTAACAGCTAGTGTTGCCCACTACAGTCTGTCTGTAAAAACTCTGTAATCCCTTTGTTTGGGGCTCAGAGCTTGAAGTGTTAACTCCTCTGGACCCGCTGGCGTAATAAACCTGATTCTCCAACTATCCCAGTGTGGTGCTTGGTTTCTCGAGTGCTGGTTTCAGCAACATTTCAACATGAGCTAGAGAGTAAGTTTAAGTAACCAGTATTGAAAAACTTATCAATATATATTTAGAAAGTATCTTTGGTGTTAGAAATACAATGGTGAATATGTAATTCAGTGTGGGGCAAAAATATTTAAATAAAAGTGCTCTATTGCATGATTGGAAAATGGGAACAGACAATGCTCCCTGCCATACTATCCCATCCTTCATGCCCAGGTGATAATCCTAAATTAAAATAATATAAAAGTGTAACATACCACCAGTATGATTGCAATGCCCACAGTCACCCCCACACTTATAATATCTACGCTTAACAGAGCCTCCAACATACAAATACACTTAAGCTCAGTGTGTGTAATCTAATTAGTTTCTGACATCCACTTTTAAATCTTGAAAACTTAAACTTTTAGACTCTAGTCCCTAACTTTTACTGCAAAACTCCTTTCCAATAAGGAGTATTTATTTATTAAATTCTTCAGGCAAAGATTTCTCCAGTGCCCCTCATGAAGCACTTTCTTTTTATTATTGTACAAAAAAAGGACCTGCTAATTCTGGATTCTCTGAAAGAAATGCTTATCCCAGTCTCCTGGGTCATTGGAGATTTCCCTGCAAATTGGTTTTCTCCTGGAGGGTGAATAGATGTGTAGGACAGAGTAGTTTGTGAGGAAGAAGGAGAAGGTTGGAGGCTGACCTGGATCTGGTTAGGGACCAGGTCTTTCCATGTTGTTTAAGCCCTGGGAGGCAGGAAACGGGAAGCACAAGGTCATATTTTGTTGATTCCAGCAAGCTCACAACACAGGTGAATATATTTCATATATTCCAGACAAATGGCTATAAAGGAAAATTTCACTGTCAAGATAATAGTGAAACCAACAGAAGTTTGCAGTTGACACCTGCTTTATAACATAACAGTAAAATGGAGGGTCCATTACAGTAGAAAGAGCCTAAAGACAATGAAGTATTCTTTTGCAGCTCCCTCAGAGGAGTCCTGAGCATCCTGTCTGGGCCATGACTCAGCCTCCTCACCTGTGGCCAGTGCAGATGAAGGGCCTGAAAGGGAAAGTGCACACGCCATCATCATACCTCCAAAGGAGGGAGTGCTTGGCAACATCCACAAAACTAATACTCCCACTGTCACAATCAAGGAACACCCCAACCCGGCCCAGAGGTCTCTCTATGTACAGAGGCGTGGTGGGGGCGGTGGTCCAGAGTTGGTAATGGTCATCCCGTTTCACACACAGAAGGAGAAACTTGTCCCTGTTGGACTCATCCAGTATGCCATCGTCCTTCCTTATCCAGGAATCCTTACAGATGCCTACAGCCCAGTCCCACGAGCATCTCCCAGTACTGTTTGCCAGAGGTGAAGCTCTGGGCTCCCCGTGCAGCAAAATACTTGGATGTTCCACCATCCAAAAATGCATGGAGGCTGGGATGTTCATACATCAGATGTCTTGCATCATTGAACAGCCTGATGTACTGACTGCTTACTTCATTATTGAATGAAAAGTTGACTGTGGAGACATGAGAAAAAATGCCAGTCAAAATTAATATTAAAATAAAATGATCTATGAGAGAAGAGGGTTTATCTAGAGTCTCACTGGGTGAAAACTCTTAAGGTTATTGGAAATGTAGTTTTAACTGGAAAACATTGAATTCAAAGGTTGCCAGGATATCTGCCAAGGAAACAGATTATTAGTTACCATGGGAAAAAACTGCTTAAAAACTCAGAGATTAGAAACAATAGTGAGATCATGTCTACTTCTGGCTGGGTACTTTTTATTTCATCTAAAAGACTGGACAGCAGGCATTGATCATCTGCAAGACCATGCCAGTATATCTTACCTCCACCTCCATTACTCCTGCTCAAGGGAAAAAAAATACATTGTAGAATAGAGAATTGGTGATCATTCTTCCATTTCAGTTAAATTAGCAAATGAACATTGAGGAAACAAAACCTAAGGATGGTTTCTTATAAGTGATTTCCTTATAGGCTTTTTTCTGCTTTTGCTGTGCGGTTCCAGCCTGAGGTCTAGTCTTCCATTTCTTGACAAGTCACCCTCCAGGATGAGGTTTATCATGGAGCTCTGTGGGGCCCATCCACCAACCATTTGCTTCCCTGTGGTTTCCATACTTTTTTGAGGCTTATATGTTTTTTCAGATTATATCAATGGGAAAACATATCATACATTCAATTGCTAAGAAACTTTCTCTATGTAACTGGATATATTCCAAAACTGGAATATCCTGGATTAATAACCAGTTTTCAGTGAAAACTGACGTGGCACATGATGATATTTCTAGGGACCCAGGAGCCATTTTTGGAGTATGTCCTTTTCTTCATCAAACAGATTATTCAAATTTATAAGTAACTGATGAGGCATGAATCGCATCAGCCCCTGCACCAGCCTGTGTGTATCCTATAGAGGATTTTAGTGACTCTGTGACCACACATGTCTATACGCGCCTATTTGCAGGCTGTTCTGCACAGGCTGAGAGATGAAGAGGGAAAGACTGTCTGCAGAAACCAACACTGAGGGACCCTGCAGGGAAGACACACTGGTGGGGTGCCACCCACCCCAGAAGCGGTGGAGCCAGTCCATCAGCCCCGCCATGGGTTGCGCAGGGAGTTCTGGGAGCAGACACTGAGGCCCGTGCCGCTGTGCCGACTCACTCCTGTAAGAGGAAGATGCGGTTCATCCTTCTGCTGCCCAGGGCTTCTTGAACACAGCCTTTACGATAAGACAGCATCCTTTGGCTCAACACTCTCCATCTAAGTCCTTTTCCCCACAAGCATGGGATAGGATCAGACTCTTCTTGGGACATTTTTTTCTCATTTTTCTCATGGTCTGTTTTCACCCCCTTTCCCCAGAGGTACTTACTTTTCTCACCTAATGCCTGGAAATACTAGTCCTTGAGCTTCAACATGTTTATGATCTTGAAATTTTAAATCAGTAAAAACTGGCCTTTTGGAAAAGTCTGCATTGGGCATGGCAACACATACCTCCCTCAGAAACAGGAGCAAAATATGCTATTAATTACTTCCATTCAAGTGTAACAGGAAGTTATATTCAACAAAACAGACACGGATATGTGTGTGTTAAGTTGCGTCCAATTCTCTGTGACCCTATGGACTGTAGCCTGCCAGGCTTCTCTGTCCATGGGATTCTCCAGGCAAGAATACTGGAGTGGGTTGCCATGCTCTCTTTCAGGGGATCTTTCCAACTCAGGGATCGAGCCTGCATCTCTTGTGTCTCCTGCATTGGCAGGCGGGTTCTTTACCACTAGCGCCACCTGGGAAGCCCCATAGATGCATATACACACAAGCAATGTAGTATTGTCTGACACACTCCATGTTCCCTTTGCTAAATGCAGCTTGATCTCTTACACAGCTCTCACAGTGCCATCATCAGCATCGCAAGATCAGACTTACCATTTGAGTTTGTCTCCCAATTCCTGTCAAACATAAAATAAGGAAACATAAGACTAGACTTCTTCATAAATAGCCAACCAGTATTTGGGTTAGGAAAACTTCAGAAAAGTTCTTATCACCACCATGAGAAAACAGTTGGGAAACCCATTGTCTTTTTTCTCCCCAAAGGAAATTGGCACAGCTGGTTGAGAGAATCCAAATTCTTGATAAATTAAGAAATTCAGAGGGAGAAGAAGAGAAAGAAAGTACAAGGGTAGTGATTGGACAACCCTCAGCTCTCTGTAAATTGATGTTTCCTAGGGCTTGTCCTAAAAGCTTAATATGCCCCAAACTAAAGGCAACTCAAACCTGGTATATTCCAACAGGAGGTGAAAATTTATGAATGTATCTAAAATTTCTCCCATTGCCCAATTGGAGATTAAAACATTGAATGGCAGTACAAAAGTTGTTCCTTTCTGGTTTTTACAGAATCAGTTTACAAAGGAAGATTTTGAGAAGGGAATATTCGCTGAGGAGTCTCCATTATCACAGTTTTGAAAAGCTTGCTCAATCATGATTTGCATGAGTTGTACTTTCTCTATAATATTTCCCACTAGGAGAGACTCCAACCTTAGGATGCAAGAGATGAAAGAATAGACCCCTGGTACCATCTAATGGGCATTGAAGGTGTGAGCTTCAGATAATACATTTTCAGCCCTCGGTCCTTACCTGGAGCAGCTCCACATTTGGTTTATAGGACATTTTCTTGAATTCTGTGTATATTATTTTGAGATCTGTCATCTTTCCACTCAGTTCCTTTTGTCTCTTTCTGATTTGCTTATAAATCTTTTGGTCTTCTTTTGTAATAAACCCTTTGCAGTGATTTTCCCCCTCCTGAAGAATTGGAGTTACCATCTGATAAGTTTTCCTAATCACGTCTCCGTATCCATTCACGTAAAACTGTTGGGAGAGGGGTTTCAACAGCATTTAGTTTGCTCTGGCTCATTCTGTCTCCCAAGAAACTACATCCATCTTAAATTCATATCTTCCCTCTTCTCAGAAATCAAACGTATTCTTCTTTCCTTCACTTATTTTTCATGGTTTTTGACTAGGTCAAGAGTCAAACCCACCCTTTTCTCAAATAACTTCCATCCATACAGATGTTTCTGAAACAGCTGGAGAAAATCTTTTCATGGGTCATTTCTTTCATATGCCTCCTATCAAATCTGAAAGACCTGTGCAAGCAATTGAAATCTATGGGTAATTCATGCATCATGTGCAGTATCCTGATTTCAATGTTAAGAAGTAAACTGATGTCTCATCTCAAACCTCCCAAACTCCCTAGCCTGACTTGTCTCTGAGCAGCTACGTCCCATTTTACCCTCGGGGTTGGTATCCTAAGGAAAGATCTTCAGATTTTCATCTATTGTCCTCAAACAGATGCTCATCCTCCCAGTCCTTTCTTTCTGCCCTCCTTTTCTCTACAAACAGGTTCTGTAAGGTCACAGGTTCCTACCCACATTGTTTAGAAGGGCATTCATCCTCATTGCATTGCATATTCCTTCCCAGTATTGATGAATTCACTCGCTCACTGTTTCTCTTTATTCCTTTCCCTCCTGAGGTTTTTCTTTAACATGTCACATTTTCTGCTTATTCGCTAGATAGTGAGCTGTCACTCTTCACCATGATAGTCACACCCCTTACATTGCGGTTCAATTTCCTTTGTATCCACCCGAGATCATGTACTAATCAGATTGAAAATACTGTGTTTCTCAATAATATGTCCCGTACTTTCTAGAATGTATGACTTACACAGAAATCTGTGCCTGAAATAACCCATGAATTTTTAAATGCCCCCTTGATCTTCAGAATGAGAACTGATTTTAAACCTGAGAAGTTTCCCCTGAGATCCTGAGTCCCGGGTGTGGAGTTGTCCACGTCCCATCCTATGTCATCATCTTAGCACTTGTGCCACATGCTTCTAATGGATCTTTTGCTGTAGTTCCTGATTCATTAGATTCCAAAAAGCCCAAGCCTCTTGGGCATGTAGGTTGAAATGAGACATGGAATATTATTCTAAATAGTGTTCAACCCATACTCTGAATTTTTTAGCACATGATTATTTCACCTCAATCTATTAAGGGACAAGTTTCTAGCATGTCTGCCTCAATCTTTTTCAAAGACAAATGCATTCTCCTATTTACCATCCAAGCATCAGCTCATTCGTCAAATTTTTTGAGGTTTCTTTCAACATCTTGTATCTTTTCCCATAAAGATCTCATTTGGTTTGCCAACTTCTCCTGTAAAAGAATTAAATTTTAGTGCCAGAAAAGACTTCAGACTTCAAATGAGGGAGTGTACTAGGGATTGTCAGATACAGGAACTGGAGGAAGATTAGCAAGGCTATGACAGATCACCACATTTCCCTGTTCTTCCTCACTAATGTTCAATTTCAGGAGATTCCGCACCACAAAACCACACCCAGGGAATCATCCGTTTAGGGAAAGGAACAAGGTTTTGTTGAAGATAGCTAATTTTCAGATATTGTGGCATCTTGTATCAGAGTGTGATTCTAGTGATGCTTGTCCCCTGTTAAATCCAACGTACTGTATCTTCCTTCTTTGTCCAGGGTTAGGGAACCAATCCAATGGAAAAGACTTTCTATGCTTGTAGATCTTAGAGTCAAAGACTTTTTCTCAAAATGAAGGCTTTACAGAGCCTTGAGCATAATAATGCATCATCCAAATAATCATGGGGGCTTCCTGGTGGCTCAGCAGTAAAGAATCCACATGCCAATGCAGGAGATGTGGGCTCAAGCCCTGCGTCAGGCAGATCCCCTGGAGAAGGAAATGGCAACCCACTCCAGTATTCTTGCCTGGGAAATGCCATGGACTGAGGAGCCTTGTGGGCTACAGTCCACGAGGTCACAAAGAGTCAGACATGACTTTATAACAATTTGACTTCATAACCAAGCCAGTGGACACAAGTTCCATAAAGGCAGGTGACTATGGCATTTTCTTCACAACTTTATCACTGCTAACTAGATTTGTGCTGGCACTCAGTAAAGAGGAGGTTTAATCATCCCCATGATCATAGTATCCTTTCAGTCTCTTAGCTGTACCACCCCCAAGCTTCCTAAGTGCCCTCAGAGGCATCACTCACCCAGGATTCCTCAGCAGCCTCTTCAGTGGGACAATGTCTGTGAGTCTTGTGCTCCTGACCTTGGGAGCAGACCAAACAGAGCAAGCTCTTGTCAGCTTCACAGAAGATCGTCTTTGTCTGCTTGTGGGTCCCACACAGCTGTTCCTCACACTTCAGGAATTGCCTGAGATTGGCTTTTCTGACAGCGGACACCAGATTCTTCAGAAGAAAATTGGTTTTGAGGTTTGTCTGTTCTGATCGTTGTCTGCACACCGGACAACTGGCAGAGGCTTCGGCTTGTTCCCAGAAAAGACAAAGACAGGACCTACAGAAGCTGTGCCCACAGCCTGTGGTGACTGGGTCTAGAAGGAAATTCAGGAAGACAAGGCATGTGAGCTCCTTCTGGAAGGGTTCTGGGATTTCTGAGTCCATTTTCCTGAGGGAAGAATATAAGGAGTTTATTCCTCTTTCCCCAAGACATAAAGGAACAAGCAAATTAGACTTGGGGGATGACTCACCTGTGGAACTGCACTGGGAAGAGAAGAGACTGGAGTTTGCTTTGACACAAATGAAAAACTGAGACACAGAGAGAGCTCTCAAGAGCTGCAGGAAATTTTCTCAACTGCCAGACAAACACTGTCCACTTCCTGCCCTCTTTCCTCTACCTAGAGGAGAACCTCAATTTTGTTGAGGACTTATTTTCCTTTAAGTAGCATGAGCATCAGGAGTTTGACCTAATTTATAGCTCTTTGTTGCAGGTCTTGACTGCCCTAAACAATCAATCACAATACTCAGTGCCAGTCCTTGATTTAGCACAAGATACTTGACTAAGCTTGTATTTTATTATTTCCTGTGATTGTCAGTATTCCTGTGATTGGATGTCCTTGGTTTTATCTTAGTCTAAATTCACATCCACAATCACTTTTTCCTCTCCAAAACACCTTCAGAATACATTCAGAATTAATGAAGATGAGACTAAATTTTGTCAAATAGGATCCTATGTAACAGAAATTACTGACATAAACTAATTGCATTAAATTGTGTGCTCATGCATGCTCAGTTGCTTCAGTCATGTCTGACTCTTAGGATCCCTGTGGCAGCCTGCCAGGATTCTCCAGATGAGAATACTGCAGTGGGTGGCTGTACCTTTCTCCACGGAATCTGCCCGACCCAGGGATTGAACCCAGGTCTCCTGTGTTGCAGGCAGATTCTTTACCTCTGAGCCACCAGGGAAGCCCTTCATGAGTTGTAACATATATTAATTCCATATACTGATTGGTTGCCTTTGCCTTCCTGTTTAATCTGTATCACACTCGTTAATCAACCAAAAATGAAACCATAGGATTATATCTTCCAAGTCTTTAAAACTATTATCAGACATCCCTTTCATTTGTGGTAAGATGCAGTTTGCATGTAATGGTGATAATCAGCACCAAAAAACAAATCATACTCTTTAAAATTGACTTTCCTAAAATATCAGATCCTTGTGTCTGTACTAGTTAAGTACAGAAATTCCTCAGATATCTCGTGTCACTTTTCTGCCTGCTAAATTATTTCCTAGTTTCTTTAAAATTTCAACCACAAAAACTCACATTTCGGAAGAGAAAACATTTGCTTCGCTTAATTTAAAGTAATATTTTTCTCAAATTAATACATTCCTTACCTAGTTCAATAGAATACAATAGTGGACAGTATTATCTCTCCTGTGTATACAGGCACACTCCATTTTTAAAGTAGACCATTGTAGGTATTACACATGGAGATAAATAGCTCTGAAAATTATTTTTAGGATCTATGCCACTTTCTGAGTCCTCGTAATGCATAGGAATAACTAAGAGATGAACAAAATTAGAGAACTAAAATTAGTCACCATTAATTCCAACATGCATGCCATTTAGACAATATAGAAATACAATAATTTTACTAAGTTGGCACACACAGTTACTTCAATGAAACAACCTCAGTTTTCTGTTAAAATTAGTAAATTGTGGGTTTTTGTTTGTTTGTTTTCTCCCCCATTCTCAAGAGATTCCCAGGAGCTGCTCTGTGATGAACTTTGTACTCACCTAAGGAGATGTAGAAACAGTTTGCAATGGAGAATAATGTAAAGTTGGCTTAGGGATCAAGAGTTCCAGTGTGGTCATGATAGCTTTCTGAAGTCTCAAGATCCAGGTGCGCTCCAAACACTCCCTCTCAATACTGGAGAAAACTTTGGCTCCTGGAGTCTCCTTATACTGAATCTCTGAACCCCACCCATTTGTTCCAAATGACTGCATTTCATCAGTCTTCCAGTGGGATTAATATGGATGATGAGATTCCCTGAAACAAGATAAGATTGCTTTAACACCTTGGCTTATCTTCATAAACATGTCTCTGCAAACATCCTCTTATCAAAAGTCACTGTCTGTACTACAAACCCACCCTGAAATACATTGATATGTGACTTTTTGAATATTAAACATTTTTTATTTTTAACTTACCAAAAAAGTTGGAAAGATTATTTCATCACTTAGAGAGTTTAGTTAACGTCTTGGAAATCTTGAAAATCTGTTTCCTGAGGTTAGTTTAAATATGTTCTGTCATGGAGGAGGAGCTTTATTTTATCAATTGATTGATTTTTGGATTTTAAAGGAACACTGTAATGTAAGAACTCCTGTGATCACCACTGCAGAATGGAAACATCTCTTGCCCCTCAAGCCCCCCCGTGCCCCCCAGCAACAACAGCACAGGGCTTTCTATCTGGTCCTCCCCACCCAGCTCATGGGGACAGTAGAGAAGGCCCCAGCTAAGACACCCCTTCAGGCCAACGACATTAGAAGGTTGCTTTGCAACAAAACAAACATTAGTGACCACAGTGGGAAAATTAGGACAAAGACATACTTTGAAGAAATAACACATATCCTCACCTTTCTGTCCTGATATATTTCCCATTGGACAATCAACTGGAGAATGCAGAATTTTTGTAAAGAGTGGGAATCAGGGCCCTGCTTTTAACTCTTTCAAGACACTTGTACTATTTCTATACATTTTAAGGAGTTGATGGCTTCCCAGGTGGCTCAGTGGTAAAGAATCCACCTGCAATGCACGGGACACAGGAGACACAGATTTGGCCCCTGGGTCGGGAAGATCCACTGGAGAAGGAAATGGCAACCACTCCAGTGTACTTACCTGGAGAATTCCATGGGCTGAGGAGTCTGGAGGGCTGCAGCCCATAGGGTCACAAAGAGTCGGACACAACTGAAATGACTGAACATGCATGCAGGTAAGGTGTTGATGCTCCTAAGTGTTTATGAATGTGCATTTAAAAATGATCTTGAAGGTTCATAGACTTAGAGAATGAACTTATGGATGTCAGGGGGAAGAATGGGAGGAAGAGGGCTAGTCAGGGAGTTTGGAATGGACAGGTACACACTGCTGCATTTAAAATGGATGACCAACGAGGACCTACTATATAGCACGTGGAACTCTGCTCAATGATATGTGGCAGCCTGGATGGGAAGAGGGTTTGTGGGACAATGGATACACGTATATGTATGGCTGAGTCCCTTCGCTGTTCACTGGAATCCATCACGACATTGTTAATCGGCTATACTCCAATGCAAAATAAAATGTTTTTTAAAATTGAAAATGATCTGGAATTGCAAAAGCACAACCACTGTCTTATAGGGGCCCACAATTGTTATAAGCATCCCCCAGGTCATTATTTTTCAATTCTTAACCAATTTCCCTAGCACCCTTCTTTGGTAAGTGAAGTATGGCAATATAGGTTAATTTCTATAATAATATTTTGTGTTCCAAATTAGTCATAAAGTGTTTTTAGGAATGCTGACATAAAGGTGATTTTATATTATTTCTCTATTTTTCTGTATTTACAAATTGCAGCAGTCACAAAAATCAGGGCACCAGACACAAGTGTAGTTTCTCTTTGGAAGATACAGTTACTCTGGATCTCCTTAGTGGAAGAGTTTGATGACAGTGTTAGCCCAGAGTTCTCAGAAGTGATGACACTAGGCCTGTAAGTACATGTTCAATGAAAAGTCTGCACATGCTGTGGAGTGGGTAGGAATGAAGTTTAAGGGAGAGGGGATACATATATATGTGTATATATATGTATATATATATGTGTGTGTGTGTGTGTGTGTGTGTATTATATACATCCTCCAATTAAAAATATACTTTAAAAAAAGCCGGCTGCTCAGACAGCAGCTTAATTAGTGCTAATTAAGATAAATTAGTGTAAGCTCTCTAGAATCAGGATAAGAGACTTATGTCTGCAAACTCCCTTCATGATAGCCCTTGGATTTGCTTAGTGCTTGTGTGAATAATCATAGACTGGGTGACCCTGCGGGCATGTTTCAACTTGGGTTCTGCCCTCAATTCCCCTTTGTCATGTAGCCCTGCCAAGTTGGCATGTCACAAAGTCATGGTGAGTTTATATGTCAAAGAATTTATCAAATATAAAAATACCTCCTTGTTCCATTTTAAGTTTACTATGAAGATTACACTGAGTAAGTATACTAGGTAGATAGTCTGGAACTCAATAAATTGATCATATTTGATCATACATATTTCTGAATGCAAGAGAAAGAAGCTAAAATTTTGTCCACTAAGATACTGTTGTGAACTTGACTGATTTCAGTGGATTTCTATTTTTAACCTTATAACATTCAGTATGGTGAATTGTTTTTCAGTATTTTTTGCTGCCATATGGAATCAACTGTTTTAGAATATTAACTAGTTAAAAAATATACAGGACATCATAGACTAAGTGCAAACTATTGTTACTTATATAGTTTAATATGTAGCATATTTTGTTAAATGATATCCCACATTTCAGAAATTTTGATTGATTTTCTATTTACTGATTTAGTTATTGAAAATTCTATGTAGTACATTCTTTGGTCCATGTATCCTTGTTTGTTATAATTTCTATTGGAAAGAACGCTAGAGATGATGTTGCTGGGTCAAAAGATTTATATAATTCCAAGAAGCCCCCTATGAGTGGATATCACACGTTCCACCATGATTTGAACTATACACTAAACACCATTCCTTTTGTTTACTAACCTGATATAAATAAGTATACCACTTCATTCCTGCACCCCAGTCTGGTTCATTTATGCAAGTAAAGCACAGTGCTTACAGTGTAGATGAACCTTGAAAGCATTAAGTGAAAGTAACCAGATATAAAAAGTCATAAATTGTGTGAACCCATTTAATTGAAACTATATAATAGAAAAATTCGTGAAAAATAAAACCGGATTAAGGGGGTGACAAGATGGGGGAAGGGATATGGGGAGTAAATATGTGCATTGATTTCTTTTTGGAGTGATGGATATGTTCTGAAATTAGACAGTTCTTGTTTCACAAATTTTTGTATATTACTAAAAAACACTGAATTATGTACTTTAAATGGGGTAATCATTATGGTA